GGGGGTGATGGAGCTGAAGTGCTAAAGTTGGGTGTTTGGTTGACTTTGATTTTATTCTGCCCCTAGAGTCTGTTTCAGTCTCTGAATTTGTGTAGATCCTTTCAGGGGCTACGTTGGGAGCCTAAAAGCTCTGCTCCTGACTTAAGGGCTGTTGCCAAATGCCTGAGATTAAAATGAATGATGGCTGTAAGAATGATCAAAATTCTTATTTATTGCATAGCAAAGTCTGTGCTGATGATGCATGGTCCAAGACATGTCAATATTCGTAAACAAAGCCATAAAAACCCATCGTGTCCTGTCCTGATTTTCCGTGCTGCTTTCGCTTGCTCATTAGTCAAGAGTGCTTAGCTCAGCTCTTAGACCTAGCAGCCTTCTTTCAGGGCATCTAAGCTTTACAATTTGGGTCTGGTTTTGTTCCTCTAAGCCTTTCAGGGATGGGACTGGTCAACATCCTTCATCCCTGTTGCCAGAGGAAGCCATTAATTCTTTCTTGGCCTGGTTCAGTATGGTTTGTATGTGCCATCTGCCATGGGTCTGAGCAATCAGGAGATGTCCTGTGGAAGTCTTGTGAGAGACATGCTTATGACACATTTGGTGTGCTTTGAGTCACTAACAGAATAGTTATCACTTGGGAATCCCCCCTGGGCTTAAAAGAGAATGTGTTAATTAATTAATTAATTAATGAGCTGGAGAGGAAATTATTACAAGAACTGGTTCAGAAAAGGAACAATTCTTTATCTGCTTGTTTTGCCAATTTTTCCAGCTATTGTATGCTGTTCTAATACAACTACATGAGTTATTATAGGAACAGTTTTATAAAACAGTTTATAGAACTGTTTTATAAAAACAGTACATTTTTAAGGTATAAATGTTGCTTTCTGTCAGACATAATTGCACTAGTGTTTGAGGGGAGGTGGGCTGGTATTTTTCAATGTATGAAGCTAAACAACTAAATATGGAAATTTGGCCAGCTGCACTTTCCTCAGCTGAAGTAATCTTAATGCTGAAGTTAAATTTGTGAACAACATATAAAAATTCCTGTTTGCTTTGATTTATGGAGATGAAATTAATAAAAAATAACCGACTATTTAGATAGTCTCACAGTTTAAAGTTACATAATTAAATGTATAAGTGAATTATGTTAATTTTGTGTCTACTCATTTTAGGAACCATCCTTCACTTAGCCTTCATGTAATTGCTTCCACTCCACTGGAAATAATATACCTGTCTTACAACTTAAGACATTGGAGAAATTGCCTATGCAAGCTAGTATCTTTTTTTTTTTTTTGGTAGATGTTATTGTCATGCTCCATATTAAGTAAGTATATTCGAATCTAAGCTGGATGAATGAGGCAGTTGAAGGGTAGTGACTCTAGCTATTTCTACACCAAGAGTTAAAAAGGGAGAATATCTATGATGCTTCTGTGTGCAGAGGAAAATGTTTCACTTACCAGACAGCTGGGAGACAGAAATTTCCCCTCTAGTCTTTAGAGGGAAAGTTCATGAGATTCATCTTTCTGCTCGGTACAAGAATGGTAGTTGTATGTTCCTCGGTATACCAACCGAAATTGGATTCTTTCTGCATAGCAACAATTCCGTCCACTAAGCCCGTGCATTAAAACCTGCTGGAGACATTTACCTTCAGGTTGGTGCCAGGGCCTTTCTACAAACATAAATTTGCATGACTGGGACCGGTAGTATTACATACAATAATATCTTGACTATAGGTGAAAGATGTAGCAGTACACATGACTTTGTATATAAAAAGGATAAGATTCAGGATTTCCTTCATTATCTCATTTTAGCTGGGATTTGTAGAGCACAACTGGGTGATTGGCATCATATCTGTGTTTGGAGCCAATGTTGGAAATGGCTGTTATATTTGGTAGATTGGGAAAAGAGTTCTGCCAGTCTAGATATGTTAGCTATATTGACTTTTTCCTTTTTTTTTGAATTAGCAATGCTGTTTTACACATATATGTTGAAGGAATTGCAGTAAATGACTGTATTTGGTCCATTTCTGTATTTTTGCCTGCTTAATTTTTATTTCTGTTACAACGGGATATAACGCGTCCATACAGTATTGAGTGGCAACAAAGTTGAAAGATAAGTGAACTGTTAGTTGATAGTCACAGATGGGCTGACTGCCTATTGCCCTGTCTGTTGCAAAATTGATAGACATCTTAACAAATCACTTGGGACCTGACAAATTGTGCAAATGTGGAATCACACAAATGTTTTCCTTCTGGGCAGGGAAGCTATAGCGCTCTCAGTTCCTTCTGAAGATTAACCATCATTGTTGACTTAAAAAAGAAGTTCGAGGAGCTGTTTTGGACAAAATGCGCTTGGCTCAGTTGAGGTTACTTTTTAATATTATTATGTTGTTATTATTCTGATCACTTGAGCTGATCCTGCCAACCCTATAGACTGAAAACTATTAAGAATTTGAAATGACTAACAATGAGTACTGTTCTAATAAGTAGCCTGTGAATACCTTTAAATAAATAATAGATGCAAAAGTTTGTAGTCCATTAAAAAGACTTCTCTGTAGCATACAGAATATGTACAGTAGGTATGACTGCCTACTGTATTTCCACATGTGCACTGTATGCACACCATATCTAAGCATGCAGGGAGTAGTCATGTATATGTGCAGAGGCCTGCAGGAATTAGGCATTTAAATCCTGTTGCAGTCTTCCCAGTCTTTTAAAAAATTCCATTTCAAGTAACTACGTTCAACAGCAAGTTGCTGCAGGATCTGCTAGAACAGCAATGTTTTCTTTCTTTTCGTTACAGTCCATAAAATGACTGCAATAACTTCTTCGAGAGGAAATGCAGAAGTGGTCAGTATCAGAAGGACAGAATCACATGATATTCCTGATATTATCAACCTCATCAGCAATTCTACAGAAAAAGTTTTTGGAAGGATTAATGTCACATATCTTTTGTAAGTAACTATTTAGGGATGTTATATTACCGTTCTTGTAGGAAACTTCAAGAAACTGTGTTCTGCTTAAAAGAGCAGATAAACATTATGAGCCTTAACACGGTATAGCATAGTGACTTTTTATGCAATTCATCAAAGGGAAAGAAAATTTGCTTCCATCTCCTTTCTGCCACAAATGTGCAAGACTGTGCCGCGTTGGAGCACTGTAGTGAATATAATGATCAGAATTTGACTATATACTACCCTGCTTTTTATAAAAGTTCGGAAGAAATACTTCTGAATATTACCTGATGAAACCGTTAGATTCCAATGTCTGCGGTCTTTTTCATCTAATTGAAGCCTTTTGTCAATTGGAGAGTATTTGAAATAGAGCGGCAGGGATTAGGGGTTTTGATCACTGTGTGGCCATGACCCTTCTATTCTCTTTGCTTGTTTATGTCTAAACATTTTCCTTCTCTGCCAGTTTCCCCTTAAGGAAAGGAGTTGTTAGGGATTTTTTTGCCTCTTCTGTTCTGCCTTAGGAGACAAGCTCTCTCCATCTGCTATAAAGTGCATGTTTCAATGTACCTCTTCCTTTGTTTCCTACCACTGAGATACTTAATATCCCCCATGTTAGAACATCTGTAGCCTAGTTTCTTGCCTGGCAAAACCATTAGCAAAAGCAGGTAGTTGTGGAAGCCTTCTGCTACAATATCTGCAGTGCTGGAGACTTTCTCTTCTGTGCGGTGATGTATAGCACACAGAGGCAGAGCGCGTGAAATGCTAGTGGGTCATTTCAAGTTTTTTTTTTTTTTTTTGCGCTTGTCTTTGAAGGTAAATAGATACTAAGTATTTGGGAAAAATAGAATTACGAGGAAAGATCCAAAGAAGAAGGAACGTTTAACTCTCGCATGCCAAGTATGAAGTAATTGAGGGTTACAAAAATTGTTTGAATTGTTATAATTTCAGGAACCACTAAGTCAGGACTTGGGTAATGAAGTTTTATTGAGTCCTGAACATCTGAGCTCTTTTGAATGTGGTTGATTTTACAGTTCTGACAGGCTGAATTATATGCTCAGTGCTGCTACGCATGCTAGTTAAGCTGAGTACATGCAAGTGCAAGGCTGGAGTCTGGAGAACTTGAAAACAGAGAGAAAGATGTCTAAAGAGAAAGAGGGTCTAAAATCTAGTGAGCTTTATTTTCCCTCTTTCCAACTGATAATTTATTGAGGGGGGAAACAAGGAAAAAATTGAAGAGGAGGAGAAAATAACATGAAACTTGCTTTATAAAGGGTTCTCCTTCTCTACAGAGATGTCAGTGAAAGACAAAGAAGATTCTTCTTCATTTAGTGCATCTTAAACAAACAGGTAGTGACATCAGAGGCAGATGCAAAGGGACAGATCGTGCGTATGTGTAAACTGTTCATGGGACTATACCAGGATTCCGTAAGTTAGAGTTATACTTTAAAAGAAAAGGCATATAGAAGGGAGGGACTTACCTTTAATGTTTTTCCCTTTTGTCAGAAACTATTGACTTGGCAGAACAAGATAGATACATCTGGTTAAAAAACAAAACCAAAAAAACACAAACAAAAAGCCTCAAAATTTGTAACTTATGTTTATATCTATGTATTGCATATTAAGAACCCTGTTTGAAGAATAACTGAAGACCCATATTTACAGTTAGAATTTATGACGGTAGATTTGTTCCAGTCTCTCTGCTAAAGTGAGAGGTATTGTACGTTAGGTCTGAAAGATATAGGCTTATGGAAAGCGTACAGCTTGAGTTTATGAATGAAAGGATACATCTGAAAACGTAGGAAGGTCTACAATGTTCCTTTCAGAATAGTACCTCTTAGTTCAGGACATTTTATTTGTACAAGGGCTTTGACTTAGTTCAGTTGTGAAATGCAGTATTTACATGTTTTATTGCAAGGTGCTTTTGAAACTGTGGCCCTAGAGATACCCTTTACTTTAACAAAGGCGTTCTGGTCAGGCTGACTACTGCTTAGGAATCTACCCAGCGGCACTCTGAGGTCAGGTTTCAGCCTTCATTCACGTAGGATTTGCTTTCAGTCCATGCGAAACAAAGCAAAAAAAACAGGACTATCTCAGCAATAATATAGATATTTTATTGAAAGTAAATAAGAGCCTACTAGGAGCAGACTTGTTTTTGAAGCTGTTTATTTAGCAAGATGCTATACAGTGTGAGTACAGCTGTTTTATAACTTAGTAATTTCACTGTTAACATTTTTAAATGGTAACTTTTTCTTGATAGTTTACATAAATTATTTTATATTTGCAGTGTTTACTGGGTTAGTGTTTTGAAATGTGGGCATACACAATGGATACGACATGCACAGTCTGTATATGCCTTTAGGACAGATGAAAGGGAAATACAAATAACTATTTTAATGTCATTACACCCTTATGACAGCTTTTGTGTCTATTTTGAATATTTCTAGAAGACATCCTGTTTATTAAGTGCAAAACTCCCCTACTCTTTTTTAATGTAATTTTTTCAACTTCTGCAAATTTAAATTGTTTTAACAGAGAAAAATCAAATCTTGCTGTGACACTCAGCAATGAGAAGAAAGAGATTATTGCCCATGCTTTGTTTCTGGACTATCCAAATTGGAATATCACTGATCAGTCTGATTGGGAATCATTCTTACATGAAAACTACATTAACAACAAATGCACTGTAAGTAAATTGTATAATTTTAGTTGCTCTTTCACTTAAGGCTCAGATACAAAAATAGGCATAGGCATCTAAAATGTAATTTAGGTAGAATTTAAGCACTCAGGTTCCTCACTAAACTCTCAGTTGCTCAGGAGTTCATGCTTTTGCCCCTAGAGTAACTTAAGGTATGTGCCATTCTGACAGAGGCCATTAGGGAACTGCAAATTGAATCCTTTAAGACACGCTCAGAACATGTCTAGCGTACAGTAATAGTACTGAGTGCAGCATGAATCATAGTTGTCACCAATACTTTTCATTCAGAATCCTGTCCAGCTCTGCTGTCATCTAACAGAGCATTTTTCCAGGAGATAGAGACCTTGCTGTAAGGTTCTTCTCACTATAAGGGACTTGAAATCCTCATTTCTCACCTTTTGGAACAAGGCTTGCTATTTTATGGAATGGAATACTAATTTAATGGGTTCAGAGAAAGAGCAAGAGACAGGGAGTGCAACCCTCTTTGAAGGATGGTGAATTACACTGGGGCAGAGGACCATGCTGACATGAGTATCTCGGTTCTGGAATTAGCTTGTCCGGTGCTGGTGTGGAGGTTGCTGCACTCCATTCTGTGTGATGTCAGTTTTCATAGCAGTTCCCCACTCGGGTTTATGCATTTCCCTCCTACAGCCAGGCACTTAGAAGTTCAGCGTACAAGCATTGCCCATCATTCAGTCCGCCTGGGAACTGGATCTAGGACTGTCGAGAAAAGACGAACAATGTTAACCATAAACATTCAAACCCTAGGCAGTATATGCCAAAATAATATACTGGCAGTATTGAAATTATGTCCAGACAGTTTGTTGATCAGTTTTCCAGCGTTGTCCTGGATGGTATTAAACAACAGCTTGCAGAAAAACTGGCAAGTCAGCAATTGCATTTGAAAATGCTGTATGCGCGGCTAAAAGAAACAGAAAATTATTACAACCAAAGAGAGTGTAGAAAAAACATGCTATTTTCCTATAATCTTTTCTTATAATCTTTTCTTTGTCACTTGACAGCACTTTGTGTACAGGCATATGGCAGGCACAACCACTTCATTTACTGTGCAGCTGCAGCTGCCTGCGTTAAGTCGTGCTGTGCTGTCAGTTGTGCAAGCTCTTCCTTAGGCTGTGTGCTTGACAATATCTCTTGCAGTAAAGCTGCAGCTGACATCAGAGCGCAGGGGCATGCCAAGAGAAAAGGAAACAAAAAAAAAAAAAAGGAGAGCTTGAGCATGTCAGTATCCTTCTGAATGTTAACAAGGAGCAGAAGAACCCTTACTTTTCTAAAATAGGTTATTTTCTAAAATCTGTACATAACATTCAGTAGATGTTTATGCTTCTGCACTGGCAAAACAACCGAACGTGTTCAGAGTTATAACTACATGAGATATTGTCACTTAACTGCAGGTTAAATCCGTGCAGACATGCTTTACAAATTGAGACTTTTCTGATAGCAGAGTTTCTTAAAAGTGTAGTTGACAAGAGTCATTTCTGTAGAGCTCAGAAGTGATAAGATATCTTAAGGGTCTACATCATGAATTGCCTTGTGCAGAATTTAATTAGCGAAGATGCTTCGCAGGATTGCCTGGTTACCGTCGCTATTCAGAACTGGTTGCAAGTCAAATTCTTGTCTCCTGGTCCTCCTCTTGGGCTTCAAGAACAAAGCATTATTTTTTTCTTCTCCTTTCTCTTTCACATTTTACAAAATACATAAAAAGTCTGATTTTAGAAATAGTTTTTGATGCTCATTAATTACAACAGCCTGTTGTCTTTATGCTGTAAAATCGTTCTTGCTATAAAGTTGCCAAAATTCAGCCATGACTATAGCCATTACACTTCATTGAAGATTAAACTATTCAGAAGACCGGAAGTCTTCCTTTTTAAAATACTTTTTTATAGAAATAGCTCATCTACAGGAGGACCTTCATTGCCTCAACACTTGGAGTAAATATGCAAGAGAAAACAGCTGGATTAACAGCAGTTACTGTTCCAGTACAAGGGTATTCCTCGTTAGAAAGCATATTTTCCAGATTAACTGGAGTCTTTTAGTCTACCCTGTTTCTAGCTGGAGATGTAAATGTGCCTAATGATGTAATCTGAAATTTTTTGTGATTTTCTTCCTTCTTTTAAAGAAAACAGTTTTTGTGGAGTATGTGATATTCTTTTTTTTTTTTTTTTTAAAGCTAGAAAGAAAAAAAGTCTTCATCAGCCAAATGTTAATTTCAATGTTGCTAAGATTTAGTTGTTATCAATAGTTTTTGTTAAATTAAAATGTTGTTAATATTGAATTAACATTGTTAACTAGAAACAAGTGATGCATGTAAAATGGACTCTAACGATAGTCAGCTGGAGTGTAAATCAATTATCAAAAATACTACAGAATCACAAATCATGATATTAAAGAACCTGTATGCAAATAGCTTTATCTACCCGGACACTTTGAAGCCAGCAAGTTACTCATATATGTGAAGCTACTCATTTTGCATGCAGATTATATAAATTGAAAATAAATGTGCGTATTAACATTTGGATTGATTTAATAAATACTCTATGCTTAGGGTTTAGATTCTCTTTTTTCGTACTGCAGCCTTTGAACACATTGTTCTTGCATCTTTTTGTGGCGAGAGAAGAATATGCAGCTGGATGTTCCCAAGAAATTGTTGCGTGAGTTAATATGTAACTTTCTGTAGTGAAGCATGTACACTTTCCTCCCATCATTGGAGAGGCTATGGAATTAAAAATGCCTAAGATAAACACTGAATCAGAATTAGCTGTCTCTCTAAACAGCCTGAAAAGGTAATAAAACAACTATGTATTAATCAGATACGCACTCTCGGCTTTGAACTCGTTACAGTTCCACGTATATTTTCCAAACAGTATGAAGCTTTACCTGTATCTTTGCTATAATTTCCCACAGAGATTCACACACAGTACTTCAGTTGCAAGGCAGATGGATTTTTAGGAGTGGAAATTTAGGGAAAAGAAAGATCAAAATGCATGATTGAGCAGGAAGCTTTAAAAGCTGTGGATGTTTCTGGAATAATATGGTCATTCACATGTGGTCTTTTGAAAGTTTGTTAGCTCCAGATTAAATCGTAAAGAAACAACAAACTATACAGTACAAACAGCACTATATATCATTGTGTTACCTCAGTAGTCAAACAAGTGTTACTCAGGTTATTTCGTATAGCTCACAACATCCCTGCATAAACAGAGTAAATTGCATTTAGTTCCATTGCTGTCAAATTTACAGTTACTTTGTAATATCAAGCAAGCTCATCCAGATGCCAGGTCAGAGATCTGCCAGCAGATATCTGGCATCTTTAATTTTTTTCATCGCTGGGGAACTGATATAAAAAGGAGGAAGTATGAAATCTAAAGAATGGCAAATTAAAGAGAAAAATGGGATAGAAAAAAAAAGTAAAAAATGCCCAGATGATTTTCCTATCATCTTATTTGTTACAAATAAAATGTTTTCATTTTGAGCCATGTGGACTTACAACAGAAGATTAGAGACGCTGGAGAGTAAATTTCTTACATTAAAAGACTTACTGATGTATCTAATGTGTGTAGTGATTGAAGACTGAATACAATTATGTTATTTGTCCAGGACAATTTTTAATATAGTACCCGAACTGCAATTTGTACTTCTCTTCGTACCAGCTGATGAGAATTTAGGTAAGAATTTAATACCATATTATTCTTAAAATAATGAGAGCAATTTCAAATCTCATTGCCGTTAATATACACTGTGTTATTTTTCCATATATTAAGAACAGTCATCATTTTCTAAACATGCAGAAAACGCAATCCTAAAATATCCTTTAATGGTCGTCCCTTGTGAAAGAGGATTATGTGGTTCCTTCCAGCAGTCTGTTCAGCAGTCTGTTCATTTCATATAATCTTTGAACTCATAACTTTTTCAAGCAAATGTAAACAGAGTAGAGACCTCAGAAATAAATTGCTACAAGTTTAGTGAAGTTGTGGCTGAGTAGAGACAAGGGATTGAAATCAGGGCTCATGCTCTGACAGGCAGTGGCTAATATATAGCCACTCAGCGTATATATGCATACTTGTCCTCCAGTCGTCGTACCCGTACCTCTGAACCAGTCACATCACATACTTTCTTTTGCTTAGCCAAATGGGTACAGAAGGAATCTCTGGAGTGGGAGAGAAGGAATGCTGGAGATATGAGAAGAGACTAGCCAAGGTATAAAAGATGGAGAATGCACGTCAGGAGATCGGTCTTTATTAGCTTCGTTGTTCAGAGAATAGCATGTAACTTGGAAATTCAGTCCTGAATTCAGATGATTAAACCAAGCATCTGGTTAATAGCTAATTTTTGCTGGGAGCTTTCCTTGGAGTGAACTGGAACCTTTCCTCATACGTTGATTTCCAGCTAGCTTAAGTGCCAGGTCATGTTAAACAACTGCCTTCCTAGTGGTATGTCAACTACAGAAAACAATAACTGAATAAGAGTTTTTGTTGAAACTGCCCTAAAAGCAAATCTCAACTTTCCTTCAGCATAGCAAGTCTTGACGGAGAGAAGGAGATTCTCCAGTGGCGTATAGTGTTGGTCATTAGCCTGCTTTTTCTATAGGGATCTGATCCTGCCCGTTTCTGATCGCCTTGAAGCTCACTTACGTTTTGGATGCTGGAGGCTGACTGGGCTCTCACCTCTTATTCCTACAAGATACTAAGGAAATAGACATTGGTTACTTGGAGGATCTAAAAGAATTGACGGAATAATCATTAATAAGTTAATCCATTAACAATTCTTACATGTTTACTCTACTGCCATTTCAGCTTCATTGCTTAGCTTAAAAAAACTTAGAGCATTATGCCATCTATGATTTAAATTCAAAAGTCCATTTTCCTCAAACAGTTTTGTTGATAATTTAACAATTTACATAATACAATTCCTCTGTTGCTCCTAACAGATTTTTGTCATTCACAGAGCCAGCCTTGGGAAATATCTTTGAAGAGATGATAACTATGCCAGGTTCCACAGCGGATCCAAACTTTACTTTGCTTGCGTGTCACAGGCATCAGTATTACCCACAGCTGTATGTTCGCAAAGCAAGGTAATGCAGTTCTATCTCTCCTACTTCTGTGAGGTGGTCTAGGTCAATTTAAAGAATCCTCTTTTTTGCTTTATCACATCAGCATCTTAGTTCAACTGACATCTTTCCTTGATAACCTAATTAAATAGTTGTTTTATGATTATACTGTCTTTATTCTACTTCATCACAAGATCAACTGTATTTTTTGTAAAACTATGTTTTCATATAAAAATAATTCAATTTTTCAGCAGTGATGTTTATTCTGTGAATCTATTGGCTTAGCCATCTTGCTGCTTATTTTACTGAATGCATTTGAGCTTTTTATTATAGTTTACAGGTCTCTTGGAGCATATTACAAGTAAATTTTCATTTCTCTTTTTACATCGTATTCTGGCCAGTTAAGCAAAGTCTGAAGAGGAGGATTTATCATCTAAAGGAATTATGTAATAGTAGAGAATCTCTGGTTCCAGGAGTCATTCAGACACGGAGAGTAATCTTTCTGCTTTCCTACTCAATACGTTGTGCATCCTCTCTCACTGTGTTTCAGGGGAGCAGATCTCCTCAGTGTAACTGAGGTAGCTTAAGAAAATAATGGAGTAACACTGCTGTTAGTACTATATGAACCTGCTTTTCTTTTTCTTCCATTGTGTCATCTATTTCAAGGCATGTAGTTTGAACAAAGACTCTTTCATGATGTGCTCATACAATGTGCCATTTAACACATCATTGCTCTTGTTTTGGGATTTTAGTCATAAATGTTGTTTAAAAAGTCAAGAAAGAAAAAAATAATAATTCAGAGCCTAGCTGCTTAGCTGTCTGTAGGCTATACTAGACAGAGAAATGCAAGTTTCTCTAGCAGCCTTGCCTGCTGCTGTCTAGCTGCCCGTTGACTATTACTGCTCTGTTTTTTCCTGCCATTTGAATTCTGCTGCCTATGCCAAATCACAGCTTTCTGTGCTTGTGCCAGCATTGTGTACAGTACACCAGAAACGCATAGTTTCTGCCCTGTCTGGCCCTTGAATTTTTCTGTGTAAATTTCTGGACCATACATGCTCTCGTTACTATGCAGATGCTTCCCTGTAGTGCATTCAAAGGATATCGATTACGTTTTGGTTCACTCACTTGTCCCAGTTCATACTGGGAAGAGTGTATGTAGGGAAGTATGTTACGAGGTAATATTTTTCTTTCATTTTGATTCTTTCTGGAGTTGTTTTTGTTTGTTCTAAATATAAGCCTTGCTATGTGCTTAAGTAGTAGAAGTATGAATAAAGAAGTGTTTCTAGTACTCGTAGTGAAAATCAATAAAGCCTGTCATGGTCCTCATTTTAGGGACAAGCACGTTTCTGGGTGACTACATCATATGACCCTGATGTGTGGTCCCTACTGAGCAGCGCTAACAGGGAAGCTAATGCCACATTAGGCATGTCTCTCTGCATGGTAAATCCACTACTTCTTAGTTTGTGGGGGTAGTTCATGCTACTGTCTTGGACTGGATTCTGACAGAAATCTGTCTGTCATAGAGAGATGTTTTACCTAATTTAATTTTACCAAATAAGCCTGAAACGAATTGATGGACTGTGCTCTTTATCCTGCAGTTTTAGTTAATATTTATTTTATCCTGAGACTGAGCATTTTGCATATAAGGACTGAGGCCTGACCTGGACCACTTTACGCAGTCCTGCTCTGGATATTTCAGTGTTACAAAATCATTTAAATATATATCTACACTTTGTAGGCTTTAAAAATTGTTTCCTTTTAATTTTCTACCATCTATCAATATGTTAAGGAATCTTAATACTGAGGAATTATCAGTAAGTGAACTAATTCCTGAGGAGTTAAAGGTTTTCCATATCCCTTGATTCTGCCCATTATGTTTGTGTGTTATTTATTTTGAAACACATTCTTTTGATGGCCAGTAGATAGTAACAATAGGAGATTTTTTTGCTATGACTGGAAACATCAAGAAGGCTGTTCCAGTATTACACAGAAGAGATGCCATCATGCCTAGGATTTTTGTAGTTTGTTATGAATAGTAATGATTTCCTTTACTAAAAAAAACAAATTAGAAAACTTAAGCAGGAAACTGTTTATTTCTTTTAAATTACACTGATCTGGTGATATAAAATCCATATTTAAGTATTGTCTATCAATAGATTCTTTGAGTCAGCTAAATTATATTTTCAGGAGAAGCTTTGACTTTCCTTCTCCTCTGTATTCACCTTTGTACTTCATTGGCATCCATAGTAACATTCACTGGAAACCCTTTAGAGACTTATCTGTGAAAGCTGTCCCCAGCCACCTGCCTAGCAACATGTTCTGGGTCAATGATAGGAGATTAGGGTAATCTCTGTTCCCTCTTCCTTTACTTACAGGGAAAAAAAATGCTGTAAATTGATACTTTGCTTAACCATTATTTTCTGAAGTTATTCTTTATCTGACCTTTATAACGCGAAATAAATCTGTAGTGTGCCAGAACACAGTCCACTGGGCTTTTATATTTAAGTTTCTTACTGGTATGTTATCTTTAGACCTCGTCATCCTTGTTTTTGTACCAGATATGTAGAAGACCATAAATTTGCAGTTCTGTGGAATGCTTTTATTGTGCTTATTCTCTCAGTCTGTGAATTTGTTTGAATTTTTATATTAAAAAGCTATTGTGTTTATAACAAAAAACAAAACAAAAAAAACCCCAACCCTATAGTGATGGGGGAACTGCAGAAACAAACAGTTCTATTCCTACAGTCTGTAGCGTGCAGGAAAATGATTGCACTCATGTGTAGCCCCATTGACTATCGTGAGTTCTGCGTGTGTGTAATCGTCTATCTACATACTACAAATCTGCAAAATTTCTGTCTGCGTCTTGATACATGGCCTCATGTAATGCTGTGTTTTGCAGAGCAGACTGGTATAAGGGACTTGCAGCATCAGCATAAAGAAGCATCACATTGACAAATATATGGGCAAAACATTTAGTTGGGAGGTGGTGTGCATATTATCTGTTCCAGTGAAATAACTCATTTCAAGTACAATGCAGTCCCATTCCTTTACCCCTAAATTATTTTGACTTGTTTCAGGTTTCATAAGACATTACAACATTTGCTATACTAACTAATTATATTAAAGTAGTGAAGTTCTGATAATAGAAAGCCTTGCTACTGTTTTTCCCTTGAGATATTGCCTGGGAAGAAAAGAAGGACTACTGTTTTGATTTGAAATATAAAGTATTTGAATTATTAGAATTTTTTTAAAAAGGTTTCATTGCTCTTGGGACTTCAGTTTTGTTGAAGCTTTTGAATTGGTTCTAGAGATAAGAGATTTATATTGTGTTATATTTTCAGGTGTTCATTTTTTCTTGTATATAACTTATTACAAATAAGACTCTTGCTAAAACTGCAAAAAAAGAATGAAAAAGTGTGGGGCCTAGAAATTTGTCACCACTGGCAGCTGTCCCCAGTTTTGAGTGGACAGTTACAATGTTCATCTCTGATGGATTCTCAAGTTGGCTTTCTTAACTTAAAAACTGTATGAAAGAATCTCATGACTGCCCTTCAGAAAAAATAATTAAATCATTTAAAAGTCCTGGCAGATGGGATAGTACTGTGGCTTGGGACATTCTAAAGGTCACAAGTTAAGCATTTATCCACTCTGCTAAAAAGGCTGTTAGTAGGACCATATGTAACAGATACTCACTCCAAGCTAAAACGGCTCTCCCTTACTGTCCATCCCGCCCAAACAGCCCGCTTGGTTGACCTAAACAAAAAGAGGTCAATGCAACTGGATCAGGGATGGAAGGATGTTCAAGGCCTTATCTGCAGGCTGTTCCTGAGCAGTGGGAGTAACAAGAGTAAAAAGAGAGCTTTCAAACAGATGGCCTGGGGGAGAAAAAAAAAGTTAGAATAAAAGGGGTCACTGGTCCCTAGCAGAAAGATAATCTTGCTATGAAGGCCACATTCATCCTAGTGTGTAGGAGCAGCAGAAATCATCGAGATACCACTTAAATTGTCCTTCAGTCTAATGTCAAAGTCTGTCAGTACTTAGAAACTCAGACTATGTTTGTGATTAGGTTAGAAACATAAATTTTGGCCCAGTCATGCTTACATTAAGATTTCTTCAGAATCCAGAAAAGTATAGACAGCAAAAATTAAATTAATTAATTTTATTTTTCTGAACTACTGCCTATACAGAACTAAGATATCCAAATTACAGGTACAAATATTTAGATACAGACAAACTTGACCAATAGGAGCCTGAAGCAAAATAATAGTTTTCCTAAAACTGAGGGAAGTGTTAATAATCATTCCTGGCTAGCTATCTTCAAAAACATGTTTCTACACTATGTAAAATTTTTAGAGAAAAGAGAGCTATTTTAAAATATTCCTCTACTGACATCTTATTTTAGGGAGGTTTATTCTCTGACTGGAATATCCTTTCCTAATGGTGGTATGAAGTGATAGATATATAAAATTGTAGTCATCTTGTGAAGGATTGCTCATAGCTGTAAGACTTTTAGGACATTGGATTATTAATCTTAAGAATCATTTATCGTCCTTTCAGGTCTCAGATTCATAGTGTGGCCTCCTGAGAACAGAAACATTTAAGATCTTTCAAGAACCACAGGGTCCTTTCTTTTTTTTAAGCTGGGAATTGAAAAAAAAATTGCCTTAATACCTGATTCATTTCATTTGCAGGATAGTGAAAGCAGAGAAATCAAATCAAATTAAAAAAATTCAAATTAAATCAAATTAAAATTCAGAAAGGAAGACAAAACCCAAACGTACTAGGCTGTCTGTCCTGCTGTTGATAGTTATTCAAATAAGGCACAATAACCAACCATGGAAGCAAAACATGAAACCTCTTTCACATTGAACAGTATCTTAAAAAAGATTCATTTAAAAGGGAACTAATGAGGCTCACACAAGTACCCTATTTGGCGAAAGAAGAAAGAAAACATGGTGCTTTGCTTACAGTTTGTAAAGTATCGCTGGGGCCTTGACTGGTGAGCAAACACAGTGTAAAAGATAGTTATTATCATCATTAAAGTACTAGCACCTAAAACATAAAAATGAAAGAAGTGCAAATAATTTTTTTATGCTTTTATTAAGGCTTAAGTGTATGGCCTTTGCAACAGAAAGAATAGCACTGATTAATGTATTGTTAGGACATCTCGTTTCTACCTTTGTTTTATTTTGTAAATCACTATTTTAAAAAAATATTTATTGAAAATGCAGGAAAATGCCACATAATGTATTTATATTAGTTCTATTTTCTGTCATCTAGCTGAGAGAAAGAACCAAAAACATTTCAGGGACGCTACTATATTATGTTAAGGCAACTTTTGTCCAGGGAACTGCACGTTGTACAACATGCAATACGGTCAGATCTTATAATGATTTTCCAAAAATGCTTATTAGAGGGTTTAATCTCTCCCAAATAATGAAAAAGAGATTCTAATAACAGCTAAGACTTTTAAAACCATCAAGCCTACAAGCAGTTGAAAGTTTGTGACTTTTGTTCTTTGAAGATTTTTCAGCAATTGATTCAGTGTTTTAGGGAACAAGTGTGAGCCCTTTACCGCTAGAGGTCATTAGAGACCTTGCAACAACATGTTTTCTGCTATTGCTCCATGATCACAGCCTAAGTACCAATTTTGTTTTTATCATAAATACTGAACCAGTAAGTAGGACCTAACATGGAGTCCTATAGGTCTCCTTACTGAATAGTTGTGTATGATAACAGCATGATGGAGCACGGACCCTCTTTATTTAAAAAAGTTACTTTGGTGTGCTATTGGTTTTCCCGTACTAATCCTGGACCTAGTGGGATCACATTCCTAGCCAACAGCAGGAGATCTTTTTTTCATCTAAGCTTTTTTTTTAATTGACTGTCGCAACTACACGTAGGAAAAAATGATCCTCGAAAGATGAACACAATTCAGCAGTGTTATAAATGTTATAATCAAGAAGATGCCTGTTCCAAAGAGAAGAAGGGTGTGCGCTGCGGTTCACAGAACAGGCAGACTATAGGCTCACTCTAATTCACTGAAGATCGTTATACCTTACAGCAATTAGTCATGGGAGCATACTTGTAATTGTAGGATGTAACCTATGTTGTTTCAAAAGAGCTGATTGTGGTGATCCCCATTCCTTTCAGTAAGCGTTTGATGGAGTGCACTGTCTACTCTCCCCGGTTTAAATCTTTTGTCTGTTAGGGTTCATCTTTCTCCTTTCATACGTATGCGATAGCTGAAATTGCCAAAAGCATGTTTAGTAGCAGTCTATTTATGACATTGAGGAGAAAGTGATTTCTTAATTGTGTAATCTAGTAGTAAAGTCATTCCCTCTCATGGTCCATCACAGCCTGACTTTTCTGACTGCCTTTTTAGTTACAGAATTGTCAGTTGAACTGCTGTTACGTGTTACGTTGTTTAGACAGATAAATAAGAAAAGCACTTTCATCTTCTTATTAGAAGTAGTTCTGTGTTAGAACTACTTTGCCATGCGCCTTTATGCTGTGGTTGCAAGCACATGTGTCTGTTGAATTCCTTCATTACACTTTCTCTACATTGGTAAAAGCATTGACTGTTATTGTTAAGATTTATATTGATCCCGCTTAAGAATGAAAATTAAGTAATTTATGGAAAAGAGTGTGTTTATGTCTAATTAAATAAAAATCCATGCAGTGTGGGGACTATATGAGTGTTAAAGTGAAAGTTGGACTGACTGGAAATCAAATTTTACACAGACAGCTTTTACCAAGGCAGTACGGAGAACAGACAGGAACAGTAGAAGTAGTAAAAGCCTTGGTGCTGCAGGTTCCCACAAATGCAGAGGCCTCTTTCATGAGGCAGAGGGATACAGTAATTGCACCTTGACCCTTGGATCTGTTTTAATGGTGATGCATTAACTTGACCTTACAAAGGCATAGTGGCTCAATTTCTGCCAGGTGCCGCTGCACTACTGTGTGTGATAACAGTAATCTAACCAATATTCAACACTGCTTCTCCCATGCAGCAAGGCACTGTTTTGTTTTTCTTCTTTAAAGAACTGATTTTCTACATCGCACTGGTATAGCTCTTTGAGATCTCTGCCAACTTTAACCAGCTGATGATTGGACTCACTGAATATAAATATTTTAAATGAGCCCAAAAATCCAGGTTCATCTGGCCTGACTAAGATGCCTTAGGCAAGAGAATTTTGAATTGGGCTACCCTCATGTTTTGTTGGAGAAAGATAAGCATCTCCGTGGGACAATTGAGCTCTTAGGTGGGTTGTGTTGCCTCTGTGTCTCCTCTGGTGTTGAGGATCCCAATTGAGGGTTAGGAGTTCTGGATCAGATGTTTTTAATATTTGTCCATATGCTAACACAACATAATGGAAGGACTGAGGCCTATGAATAGCAGAGCTTTAGGACATTACATAATATCTGTTTCATAGATTGGAAGATCATGATGATCTCATGCCAATCTTGACACGTCACAGTGAAACTCTGAAAGAAATCTATGGTGAATATTTCCTTGCTGATCTCTTAGAAACTCAGGATGAAGAAAATCAGGCTGTTGTTGGTGAGGTAAGTCTGTCACCTACAGTTTTGTCTATCCACAATGTTAATGATGTCATGTGTGAATAACAGCTCACAGTGCAGTTTAGTGAATAAAAAGATCAAGCTCACTTTTGGAAGGTAGGATTTACGATTTGCGTGTACACAATGCCCTCCACCATTTTCTTTGCGACTTTCTATTCCTTAGGAGTGCTGTCTCCTGTTAGGTAAATGAAGCTGCAATTCCCAATAATTGTGTCGATTTTTTCCAAATAATTGAAACAAGCCATCCTGAAAAAACTATGTAGCCATTTAAGACATTTGCATTATAGATGACCAATTTTCATTCCCTGTAAAATAAATATTGCATGTGAAAACTAGTAGCCAATAATACTTTCACATTTAAAAATGCTCCAGATTTTTTTCCATCTCCTGGCTCAGGCAGCCAGTTTTTTGCTGAATTGAAAACTCAAACCCAGGAATTAATTTAAATAAGAAAGAGAGGTGGCAATAGTTATCCTAACTGAAAATTCCTATTAATATTTTTCTGTATTCGTAACTATGCATGGTAAGTTGAAAGGCAACATAACCTTCTTAATTCTAGAGTTCTGCTTTCTGTAGCAAATGATTTTTTGAAACCTTAACATGTAATCACTACTATTGGAAGCCAAGTGGGAAACAATAAACCATTAGTGCAATAGCACAGCACAAATGGCTAGCTTATAAATAATACATTTCTATTGTACATTATTGCTCAATATGAAACAAGCAAAAGGTGATTCAGGCCCTCATAGTTTAGACTTGCTGCTGCTGCAGACTGGAAAGACACCTCCATGTGAACCAAGATAGATGCCAATTTTCCCTGCAGAGAATGAAGCTGGCAACCTCTTTTTGCACATATGGTAGATGGATTGGTTAATCAGCCTCTGCTGAGCCTTGGGCCTAAAATTACATAGCAGCCAGACAACTGCAGCGACCCAGCTTTTGTTCAGTTACGCAAACAAGGCAAACAAACAATCACTTGTTGTTTGGGGAAAAAATAAACTTTATATATATTTTTTATTTTTATTGAAGTGCTGATGGCCTGATAAAACAGCTATACAAATCCAGCCTTTGGGTTTTCATTATATTTATAAAGGATGTTTTCATTATATGTATTAAGAAAAAAAATTTTTGATTATTTTGTGTTTTATCAGAAAGTTGCATAGAGTACTAAAAATTCTTCTAGGCTGGCTTTAGAGGAAAAAAAAAAAAAGCCACATGCTGGTTCTGATTTTTCAGAGTCTATTTCTTTTTGAGCACTGTAACTCTCTGGAAAGTTTCAGTAATAGTCGAACACAGAGTAGCATACCCTTTCAGTGTTGCAGGGGTCTTATCATTTTCATACTTTCTGGGGCTTGTTTTTTTTTTTCTTGAAAGACTAGTTCTTTCAGATATGGATACTTCTGGGTATTTTCAGAACTTAAAAATATTTAAATTACTTATACTTACTGTGTAGAATAAGTACCATATACTATATTAGATACTGTCTATATAGTATATAATTATTTTATTGAATTAATCATTATCTTATTAAGGCAAATAAAATATGGTTTTCAGTGTGAACACGATTATATTTGCATGGAAGTGCAACAGTTAGTCAACCATTAGGGCTAGTTAAATTTAGAATTTACTGTAGCTGCACTTTAAATTAGGGAAAAATTGTATCTATTTTTGGAAGTCTGCCGTTAAAAAGTACATTTTTTTCTTTGCTTACTGTCATAAATTTTTTATTGTAACATCAGGTCATCATTTGGTCCATCTAAATAATCTCAGTCCCCCTGCAAACTGAAGCCAACAAAAAATTATAGCATCTAATTTAGAGGGTCTAATATACATTTACAAGAAAAATTAAAAAACAAACTTGAATTTAATTTTTGCCAAAACAGTAGCTTTATACCTTTGTGTTGCACCCAGCCAGAGACTGACCATTGTAATTTTTATGATTTACCAGTTTTTTGTTCAGGTAAAGTGAGCTCCTCAACATATAAAAATGTGACATTGTTTTTACGTTTCAGGATGGTGGCACTGCAGTGGGATTCATGAGCTTGTGCTCTCAAGTAAACATTTCCTTGCTTCATGAGTGTTTTGACTTAGGGCCCTTCCATGGACTCTGTAAACCACATCCGGATGATATTCTCAAAATGCCGCCGGAACTAGGCATTCAAGAAGGTATCTATATTTTAAAATGCTGTATGGGTTCACTTGCATTTATACCTACCTTTTGTATAAGTTATTGCAAAAGGTTGGAATATGACATAAGTTTATATCAGGAAGAAAACGCAAATGAATGCAACTGTTTTGGAGATGGTTGCCTGTTGTTTGTTTTAATTCAGGAGAGAAATTTTGATAGCTCTAATCTCTGACTGTGAAGTGGTTTTGTTCTTGGGGAATTGGTGTATACAGGTTTGTCAAATTGTAGTCTGTCCTTGGAACAGAGGTATGGGATGAATATGGGTTTCAAGTTTTGGAAAGCTAAAGCGTTAGGTATATTTCCCACTAGTTAGCTACAATTGTACTACTAATTGTACTACTAACTGAAGATGTAATTTTGAACTTTGGTTCTAATGTCTACCAGTAGTTAAGCAGCTGGTTAACTGTGGCTATTATGTTGTCCTGTTGACCTGTGTCCTCTCAGCTTCCATGTGCTCCATTGTCTGCTCTCTCTGCTTATTGTCTGCAGTGTTACTCCAAGGTTATGAGATTTTGGGAGCTCAGGGATTCTCTCTTTGTTCATGACAACCCATCTACAAGCCAACTTGCTGCAAATAGGTCACCTGTTTGTAGAATAGAAATCTCTTGTTTGTGATTTCTGCTGTCATCTTTATTTTTCAGTGTTGAAGAGTTTTCTTGGTGCAGAAGAGCAACATTTTGCTACCTGTTAATTAGCAGTAATAGAATTAAAAGAAACACTGCTAGGTTTTTACATATCTGCTTGTCTGAACACAAAGCATCAGGCAAAAAAGGCCACTTGGCAGCCTCCAAGCAGTTGCCCACTGGTATCTTAGAGCTGACAACCAAGCAACACAAAAGGGAAAGAAAGAATTCTCTTCCAGCTGTTCCTGTGAACTTCTCCTCCCCTGCAAAGAAGAATCTTGCTAATAAAAGATTAAGGAACCCAGCTATCTTATCCTGTATCATTCCATGCTCCTGGAGATTCAGGAGTATTATTTCAAAATAGGTGACAGACGTATGTTAGGAGTATAAATAGGAGAGAGAGGAAGAAAGATCACTTATGATGGTCTCTTATCTTCTGAAAACTAGTCTTCTGTTTCCTTTCCTGGCATCCTAGGCTAGCCTACCTTGCCCTGTTTAGCCAGGTACAAATGTTTGAAAAGATCTTACCCACCCTAGAAAGTCATGCAAATCTGGCTTAGGATTAGATCTTTTAAAAGGTGAGAATGTGCTGAAAAGTATTAAATATCTTTCATTTTTAAAACGGCAAATATTATCACTTAGTATTGTAAATATCTAGTAAGTGAAGTATTCATTTCTCATTATGACTCCCGCTTTACTGTAGTAGATCAGATCTGGTCAGCAGAAAGTCTGGGTGTGTATATGGATTGAATCTGTCAAATCTGGTTCTGGCAAGACCCTTGTTACTTATGTGTGTGCTTCCCTTGCCCAAGGACCTCAAGATGTAGGCCCATGTTTTGTGACAAATTCTGTGCTGCTGAGCTTTTAATGAGTATATGGCTGCACATTTTAACCATACAGCTGTTAGAACTGTTAATTCTTAAATAATGTGTATACAAGAATTATTCTAAATGTGAAAAATTAATATAAAAAAAAAAATCTATTCAGGTTCTTACATGACTCTCATCAGCCTAGCATCTAAGGGTTTTTCAGAACCTTATTAAGTGACCTGATTAGCGTTCTCACGTGAGATTACCTTTCTTATTTTTACTCTTCAATTAAAAATTATGTTGTATTGAAGACTGATTTTCATTTGCAATGCTATGTGTTTGCTTTTGAAAGAAGATTGAAAAAAGTAGCAGCATCCCTCTATTTGAAATGGCAAGTGAGAGTGAGGCTTTTATTGTGGATCCTATGAACCAGCTATGGCATTAAACCATTTACTAAGTTCTTTCTCCTGAACAGAGTGATGTAGGCACAGCCATGACCCTGCTGATTCTACTTTCTGCCTGTCTTGCAGGCAGCCTTTAGATGCCACCTTTGCAGGTGTAGCGCTGTTTGTGCCAGAGCCAAAAATTGCAAGCTTGATGTATTCAGGGGAATATTCTTCTCTCAGGGAAGAGAGAGAATTGTTGGTAGACTTGCTTTCAAATATCTTGAGCAAAAGCATTGAGCACCTCACAGAGAGACACCTGAGAAGGAACTTGATTATTATAATTTCAGAGCCTGATTTTGATATCATTCTTAGAGGGAGAGAGACACCAGAAATTTTATAGTAAAATTAGAGGTAGCTAATGGTTACATATTACTCAGGAATATTTATTCAGTTAATAATGAATATATATATATAACAATAATGAAAATAGTGATGGCTTTACACATTTTAGAATATAAATGAACAATTACAACATTTTTAAGAAGTGTTGGTTGTCCACAATGTAATGTCTTGAAACGTTACGTCTGCCCAATATAGTCAAGAAGAAAACAAAGAAACTAAACGCTGTGGTACTTGAATTTTAAGGTAAAAGAAAGAGGAAAAGATCAAATGTGTGTTATTGTTACTCTAAATTCTAATACTGGTTGAATAAGGTATTACTTTGTCACAGGTTACAGAGGCTTGTTATAGTTTGTTGAAAATATATGCTTTGTATGATAGCTATTTGTAGAAGGAGCTTTTCTTTCTACTGTTTGATAGGCATGTGAGTTAAGATTATAAACAAAAAGCCCATTTTTTTTAAACAATTGAATAAAAAACTATTTCCTTCTGAATGATTCAAGTTTCATTTTTTGCAGTACATGTGACTCAAAGGTGATTTAACCAGTCATTAATAAAAACTTCCAGGAAAAGAGTGATATTTCATTTTTTTTGAGAATGGAAAAGAAAAAAGTCCACCATTTTACTAAAGAAGTTTATAGGAAAGAAAATCAGCCCTCCTCTCTGACTTTTTTATTTTCTTAAAAATATAGTTTGAAAAGGAAATTATGTCTTCATTTTGGTAAACAGAGAGCCCATATATAACAGTTGTGTCCTAGCAGTCCATTTTTAAGTCTTTATAGTGTCAGGGCAAACCTATTTCCTTTGCATTTATAATAGTGTTTTTCAGATATCTATATTTGATTGAGCTGCACAACATATACATGGTTATAGGAATGCTCTTTTTATGATTGCACCATTTCTACAGTGCACGATATTGGAAATTTGCTTCCAAATTACCTCGATGTAAAGTCAGTAAAGCTTCACTAGACACTTTACATCAACAGAGGACGTGGACTTTCTTTAAATGAATTCAGAGTCTGAGATTTTAAAATGTAAGCTACATTCATGTGTAGAATAATTTTATGTTCCGATATAAATAACCCTAATAAGGAGAATTTTGCAAGCTCTTTAGCTTGCTGTAGCCCTTGTAATAGAGACCACAGGCTGATATTATTTTTCCTTTCAAACTGTAATACTGAATAATAATGAAAGCATATACAAAAATCTGTGTTTAACACAATATTGATATACCACTTACATTTCATGGTAATTACAGTAATTTGGTTGTTACTCTATATGGTGTCATGAATTAGTAGCTAGAAAACATTATGATGCAGTGAGAATGATTCAAGGGCTTTTCATCAGGCTTCATGTTGAACTGGCTTTTTGATCCTGCTGACTGTTACCTCTGCTAACAACCCAGCAATCACAGAGTTATTTTAATTTGCTTTTTGTTCATGTTCCTTACTTCATTTAGTGCAGCAATATTTATGTTCTTCCTAATCACATGTGTTCAGCATATATGTAAACAGCAACAATGTAGCTCTATTTGACAGTAGTGGATGGTGGAGCCATTAAGGGACTTCATTTTAGTATAAAGTCAGAAACAACATATCAATATTTACATGACAACAAGAGGCTTGTATTAATTAACTTCTGACACCTGCTAGGCTGTTTATAATGAGAAATGTTGCTGGGTTAATCAAGACGACATTTGATCGTTTCTGTGAAGTCTCACATCTGTGATACCCCTAGAGGAACTGTGATTTCTAACCCTTGAGTTTCTTCTTGCCCTGCATATTGCATCTGCATTCTTTTCTGCTAATAGAGAAATAGATTTTCAGATAATAGATTTTTCTAAAAAATACTTTGGGCTGAAATACTTTAAACCTTTGAGCTTAAAAAAAAAAAAAAAAAAAGCTCATTACAGTATGTAGAAATGCTTATGTCAGTGAATGTAATTCAGATGGATTTCCCAAGGCAAAGTAGAGAGAAAGGAGTGAAGAATTTGATTGTGCTGTGTTTTTTAAAGATTTTTTTCCTCCTCCTGGAGCTCAGAAACTTCCAAATTCTTATGTTGCTGGAGATCTCAATTGCAAGGGTGTACTGTCTTGATGTATTCTCTGGAGCAGTGATCTTGAGTTTATTAATTAAAACTTATTTTCACAGAGTTTATTTTTAAATATAAAAACAATAAACTATGAAGTTATCTGTAAAATTAGGAAGATGATAGTTTAAAGAATGGCAGAACTATTGAGGATACATTTGGGGCTAAAAATATAGCAGCTGACATTTTGCTTTAGTAGTTTTGGTGGTTATTTGGTGTAACCTGTAGGGTTTGCTAGTATTTAAATGTTTATTGTCTAAGTTGTTTTTTAAACTATTGGTCCATAACGTTAACTTTAAATGTAACCTTTATGATGGATTATTGGATAGCCTGTGGTTCTGAACACCCTCCACTTCCATTGACTTTAAAGGAAATACCCATCACCATGCAGACTTAGGAACTGCTTTGCCAAATCTGTGTAATATCTGCTGCAGTGGTGATTGCTTGCTGTCTAACAAGCACAAAGACGTTATAAATGTTGTTAGTCAATTCTGTCCTGTAGGTGCTGGAGATCAGCAGGGTTCTACGAATCTGTTGTGCCTTGCAGCTTAAAACAGTTAAGGCACACAGTATAGGCACACACTGGTTAAGTAATTAAAATCAAATGTTCCAGAATGGTTTTGGACATTTTTGTCCTGGTTTCTTAACATTTTAAATATGAAGACGTTATACTGGGCTGAATCCTCAGCTCATTTCAATTGGCAAAATAATGAAGCTAATTTAGCTTTCCTCTGGATCTGGCCCCAGCCAGGGACTAGAATGCCAAAAAATACATTTGCATCGGTATTTAACAGGACTCCCTAACATACAGATGTTTGCTTGAAATGGCTTAAGTGCTTAACCAGAAATGTTGTATATACCTACATATGTTGTATCTCATACGTATATATCATGGCTGTTTATCACATCAGTCAATGATTAAATATAAATCGATTGATCTGATGACTACAAGTAATTTCTTCCTATCACCTTAGGTATCTGTTTTGGCCACAAAAATATTATTACTCGGGTTGGGCTCAACCTGAGTTTGTTGAAAATATATGCTTTATATGATACTCATATAAACTCGACTCAACTGAAATGTGCCTATAACGTTACTGAGGATGATAGGATGATCTGTTATGCCAATTTAAAGCTTGGTCTACGTTAATTTGATTTTTTTTTTTTTTTGTAAATTTTTGTAAATTGCCCTTCCTTTCAGTGGAGCCCTTCTATTCCTTCTTTATGTTGCTGATATTCAGAAGCTTACCAAAAGCTGTGGTCACTGCTACAGTGGGCATTCGTTATGCAGCTCAGTGAGCGCGTATTTTTTGGTTGAGTATGACAAAAAAGATTTGCAATGGCTAGCTGACAAAGCGCTCTGAAGCAGTTACTTCAGCATCCAGGGGAGAACCTCCTGGCTGTAGTTGAAAATCAAAGGTAATAATCTTATTACCAGCCATGGCTCAACCTGGAAGATGAAGCTCACTAATGAGCCAGCAGATACCTTTAGGTCTCAGAGCCGTCCCCCAAAGCTGTATGGGGAAATTGCAGTGCTTCAGATAACCTAAGGATCCCGGGAGGTGTCTGATCTGAGCCCCAAAGGCAGGCATCAGCCCCTGGCGCTCAGCAGGCATCCTGATGGAGGAGGCCGGCAAATGGCAGTGTGGGAAACAATATTAAATCTTTTCGCCCTTCCCGTTCCTAAATTACAGCCAAAGTAATGCTTAGGACAGTTTACTTAGCACCTTGGAGCTTCCATAAAATCTGACCTCACGTGTCTAAACCAAGTGTCTAAATGGAATGAAAGCAGCAGATGAGCATTTTTTTTAGACAAGATAAAGGGGAGGACGTAGACAAACTGAGAAAGATTGATCAAACAGCAACCCGCTTCTATAAGAAATGAAGCAAGGATTAGAGAGGTTAGTTAAGTTTAGCAATGGAGAGGGGAATTTCAATCCGTGTTTCTCATCTCTATTTCCTCCTTTAAGTATGGGTTCTGGCTTGACCAGACTTTGTTCTGAATTTCAGTCCTGGTGGGAGATTTACTTTTAGAAGCAAGAGCCCTGATCACCCTTACAGTCATGAGAAAACAAATTAGCAGCAGACATGGGAGTTAAGGTATCAGTCAATACACTAATTACTCCTATGTTTCTCTTCTGATAGAGTCAAAATGTATTACATTTAATATAGTTAGGAATTGCTTCCAAACTGTGTCCTGTTTAATTTTTATTTTAAAACCACTTCTCTGATTTTGTCTTAAGGTCAAATAGTCTGATGAAGTTCTAGCTAAGTAATTGTCTCTTTTAACTGTGGTCGTAAAAATTCTTTCAATAGAGGCAGTCTAGCACAAGTTATTCTCTAGGTATTGCTGTGATTCTGATGGTTTAAGCTCACGTTTTTAAGCCTGTTCAATGCATTTATTCTTTTTCATTATTCAGATGAAGATAGAAGCAACCAAGCAAGTCAAGAAGCAGAATCTGTTTCATCTCAAAACGCTGAACATATTAGTGATCAAGATGTAGCTATTCAGGTAATACTACTGTACGCAGCAATGCTGATTAGCTCTTAAAGCTAACTTGAGGCAGAGGTGGAGGTTGCTAGGACACGCAATACTGCTTGTTTCCACTCCTGCACTGTCCCCTGCACTGTTGCCTGCATGTGCCCACACACTTGTAGGTGCTGTTGTACAGTGAACTGGATCAGAAACTGCTCTGGAAAACAGAGCAGAGTTGGAAACACAACTTCTAGTGGGCTCTCCTCCACAGATTAGAGAAATGTTCCTCAGGAACAGACGGGATATGAGTCTCTCTACTTTTACAAATCTGCGAGTCTTGAGATTTTACCTTACTGTGTTACTGAACTTCAAGTCTATTACTGACAGCAAGCTATCAAAGCTGTTAAAAGTAGCAGCATAGCTTCAGTGTCCCCCCCTAATATGTAGAACTAAAAGGACACATGTTCTGTCTTTGCTTCTTCTACTGTTTCCACTAGTGAAATGCATAGCATAGGTGCAGGTTTTACAGATTAAGATTGGCAAATCAAATGCCAAGAGGATAGAGGCAGGATTTCCACATTCTAGTCAAGGAATAACAAGCTTCATCCCTCTCTGGAATCCTGCCAAAGGAATGTGTTACAAAGAACTCAAGGTCACCACACTGCAGTGCTTCTAGATGTGTTTTCGCTGTCATTAGCCTAATACTATGTTACATTTTCAGACAAAGAAGTTGATTTTAAGCACTTTTTTAAATAACTGCAAGGCTGTTAAGCTTTTATATTTTCCACAGACAGAATATTCAAAATCAGTGCAAGTCATATCACTGAATTCAAAGGAAGAAAATCTGAGCTCCACTGAGCCAAGAAATGCCCAGTGCAGTATTCCATGAGGAATATCCCTTAGCTTTAAAATGTCTTAATAGTTTTGTAAAAATATTGTCGATAAAGCCTCCAGCAAAGTAGATGTTATCACAGTCTAGATAGAGTTTGATAGATGTATGTGATGAACCAGAGAAAGGGGCTATGCATATGTTGCCCTTGAGAGAGGGGGCCAGAGAGTGGGCCAGGGAGTAGGAAGAATGTGGCAGACAGCCTGTCAGCCCAGTGTCACTCATCTGCAGGGGCCATAGGGACAGAGGGATGTGAGGTGAATTTGAAGTTGTTTGAAATATGGTGTTAACTAGCAAATTTGGGGGTTCTTCCTTGGGACCAAGCAATGACTCAGTGACAACCTGAATTAAAACTCAGGACCTCCTGTATTGCGGTTTTGTGTGTCAGAACTTCCAGCATTAGGAACATTTTCAGAATAGTCAAGAAAAGTAGATTATTTGCCAGTTTGTGAATGTCAACTTGTGTTATTGCTTGCAGTCTGTACGGGTTGATGCTAAGACTGAGGAAGTCATTTCCCAAGCTTCAGACACAGTTTCTTTGCAGTCTGCAAGAGGAAACGTTCAGCCTAGTGCTTCAGAGGTAGGCAACTGCTCTGATATTTGAAGTTTTTCTCAAAGTCCCAAACCTTGTGGTCATGTTGTTAAAACAGAATTTCATTTTCCAAGAAGAAAGTAAATTTTTGAACGTCATGTTCTAAACCTCAATAGAAGAAGTTGAAAACCTTGCGAAAGTATAGCCTAACTGCTGGGAAAAAAAAAGGAAAGGTAAAAAGAACTTAGGAAATTTAAAGCAATCCTATGCAGTATTGAGGCTGTGTTTAGAAACTGAATGTTGAGAGTGAATAACTCTGCTTTCCTCTGCAGACTAAGAATTGGACTCTGAATGATTCACACTAAATCAGGTGAAGGAGACTCCTTGGTTTGGAATCCAGATTTATCTGGCTTCTGGTAGCCAGAAGCTTAGGCAGAAGGGCTGTATTGTATTTTACTGCAACAGATAATCGTAGGTTCTGTAATTCTCTCTCCTCCTCTTTTTAAAACAGCTGTATGATTTCCCACTTGGGCTTTTGTGTAAGGGAGTATTACTTTCATTCATGATGGATCTGAAAGAAAATGTGAACAATTGATTGCTTCTGACACTGACTGTGAAATTTATTTTCATGTTTTAAAACAAAAGACACTATAAATTAAAATACTATAATATTTTTATGTAGCTGAATCGATTCAAAGGATATATATTGCTTGCTTGCTTTCTTTGTTTCTTTTTCAAATGAGGCACGTAATGTTTTGGAAGTTATTATTTCAGAGCTAAGTCGTGGGAGTTGTCCTAGTAAATCTGACAGACAGCACTGTCAAAATGGGGCTGTTATTTTGTCCTATATTTGTATAGCATCTGGTGTGACTAGGGCTCATACAGTAATATCAATTGTAACACCAAATCAGATATCATTTGTGTAGATATGAAAGGAGGATTTTTGTCTAAGCTCCTTTTCTGAAGCAGCAGAATAATATTTATTTTATAAGTAAAAATATTAGTACATAGGAGATTAAAACTTTAGTGCTATGATCTATGTACTTATAGGATGTTAAATTATGACACCACTCAATGCATTTATGTTGGATGAAGTATGAATCAGCGGAGAATTTATCCCAAGAAATCTTAAAGAGTTATATCTGTCTTGTAGTCTCTATTTCAGTACTGTTATCAAACTGTTCTGGTGTTCTTCCAATAATTCTTCAGTTCCATTTCCACAATATTTTCTGCATTGATTCCATTTTCTTTAATGTAACATGCTGTAATTTTCACATAGTTTCAATATACATCTGGAAACAAAATGTTTATATTGCAAAGCATTTCTGAAAGATAAATATTTTATTGCCTCACAAAGTAATTCCAGTGAAAACTATGAGTTTGTGGATATATTGCTCCTCAGCAAGAACTGCTATATTCTTTAAAGACCATTTTAACCTGCTGTTTCATAAGCAGGTAGGTGTCACATTAAAAATACCTCCTTAACCTTCTGTGTTTGTGAAAATGTGACAGGTGAAAAGTACATCCCTGTGTGTCTGCTTGGAATGCTATGAGATAGGAAAGATGCAAAACCTTTTTATTAAAAAATGAAAATACCTTCTAAATGTTGTCAGTGGTCACTTGTCTCTTATTATTACAGAATGATGGAGTGAATACTGTTTCCCATACTGAACTGCCATTAGATGTTGTCAGAGGCAAAGATTTTAAATTCTCAGCAACACCTGTCTTTGAGACTGAAGAAGAAGATGCTCTTCGTCCAGTGTACAGAGGCGCTTCAAATGCTTTCTGTATTCGTCTGTTTTGCATAGACAAGAAACATGAAACTAGGCAAGTATGGATGAGTAGTTATTGTTTTCGTAATCTTATTAACAACTTCACGTAGCATTTTTTGGACAAATCTGGAAGTGACAGCACCTGGTGAAATTTGATTTAATTTTTCTGACCTTTTTTTTTTTTTTTTTTTTTCTTTCTTCTACCTTCACTAACAACTTACTGAAATTTTCATCATCCACCTGCAACTTCCCACCTCTGGTAGGACTGTGGGGACAAAAAGTTATCAGGTTCCAATACTATTGGTTATTTTTGTTGGAAAAATACTTGTTGAAATTGTGGAAGAAGGCTATTTGTTCCCAAAAAGAAGCATTAATTCTGGAGCTGGTCACCAGTGAAGAGGGACAGATGTTAGGGTGCTGGTCACCTGTGCTACTGGGGAAATGAGGCTATTTTTAACTCTGCAGTTAAACGTCCTCATTTCCAGACACTGAAAGAGTTTCTCATCACTGAAAGAATTAATTCAGCTTTCTGGAATCTACCAAAGTTTGAGGAGAACAAAGGCTTTATATCTCAAAATGCTTGCTGCTGTTGGCCTTGGACTCTTAGATCTTGCTGGAGTAGAACTGATCCATAAAACTGCTTTAGAGAATTTTTTTACAAATTTCTTTGCACCCTTAAAGAATGAGCCCATCCTCAACTATGTCAGCAAACCTAATCCAGGAACACCAGCCCTTTCTAACTGTAAATGTCACTGAGCGCTACACTTGTTTCTAAATCCTAGGAAGAAAGATAACGTATGTAGATACTTAGAAAAAGTAGACAGAAAGAGGCTGGGTCCACCCAAGATCTTCCACATCTTAAAATATATGTAATTTCTAGAGACAAAAGGTATTGGTAGCAAGGAATTTTCTAAGTGTTGTGTTTGACAACTGTAATATCATTTGAAATACCATCTTTCTACATGAAGTAGTAGTCATGGGTGATGGGCAACATCTGATCTTATCCGGCTTAAAGGAAATTTAGGGACAAACTTTATTAAGAACAGAATTCAGAACCCCCCCCCAAATTAATGTGATGTATTAAGCTGTTTCCTGCATAAGGAGGGTGCCTAGTTGAAGCGACAGAAATCTGCTACAGATGCAAATATTCAAAATTCCTGAAGCAAAGCAAACATATAGTCTCCTTGGTACACATTTACCTAGTAATTTAGCTTAAATTCATTAGGAAGAGAAGGAAATACAATTTCATTAAAAAGTGGTATGAGTCTCTAGTCTGCTAAAAAGCACTGATCAATGTATATACAGTAGAACAATTATGCTACAGAGAGTCTGTTCCAGAACAACTAATTTATGGACAATGTATTCTAAAATAAAATTGAAATGAGAAAATTATTCCAGAATAAAAACACTTTTGGTGTTAAAATAATATTGAGATGAGGAAGTTGCTCTGGAAAAACTCCATTATATTGAAATAGCAATGGAGAGCTGTGATTCTGCTGTCACCATGTTGGGAAATAATCTCTCTGTAAACTAGTCAGGTTCTCTGCTCGTAGCATCCTGCTTAGGATAACGATCTTTCATTTCTTTGCCCACCTTTGACATTCTCTCCTTCATGCGCACCGTTGTTACTTCTGTTCAAGGTATGTCCACTGTGTTTATCATTGAACACTGCAGATTGTCGTCTCTCTCTCTCTCCTTTTTTTTTCCCCCCCGGAGACATCTCTGGAACAGTTTAGATTCCAAGATGGATATCTGCAGAGAAGATAGGATTCCTTTCCGTAGACTTTGGCTAAGATTAACATTCATGCAAGATCCTCTCCTCAGAGCTGAGGAGTCTTGCAGATCTTGGTGTTTTAAAATATGTATTTTTCTTTTGTATACCTCCCTAGTTTGTATTAGCTTGATCTTCCTGTTTGTAGAGAAGCTGACAGAACAGCAAATGTATCTGAGAGGATGGCATGAGGCAATTCTGACGGGGATCAGTATCTGATAATTTTGTCCTGAAGGAGTTACTGCTGACCCAACACAATGTGGATCCAGAAATAGTAATTTGCTTGAAAAGTTGGTATGATTGCATCTTAGCCCTTAAGGAGAGTTTACCACTGAGGAATTTGTGTTATTCAGTAAAATCACCAAATGTTTCCATCTCTTTAAATCTGTAGGTGTCATGTGGCTTGTAAGAGCACTGGAAGTGAAATGTGAAGGAACTAAACTGCTAATCTACCTGCAGATGTTTGGTACCTTTTTAAGCCCCCTGAAAAATCTCCCTTAGTTCTGGAGTTTCTTGTTGCCAAGAACTGCTAGATACTGGAGAACAGAAAATTACATCGCAATAGCTTTTTCCTTTCCCCCATTCAGCTATGCCATTAACTAGTCATAATTATATATTATATGGGAGACTATATAATACTACAATCCAAATCTGTATTGATAACGTTTTTTTTAGTTTTCACATTTTTCATTCAATTACAAGTATTTCAATTAAATGTTATTTCTCTTTCAATCCAGTAACATTACTGGTGAAGAAATAAAAGTAAGTTGATTATTTTAATTACAGGTCTGGAAGGGAAAGGCTTTGTCAGTATTTTTAGGTAATGTGTATTTGCACTGAATATTTTCAAAAGACATTTTCTCTTGTGGGAAAATACTACATAAAGTTTCAGCGTAACTCTATTTGATGGATTTAGAGCTCTTTGATATCCTTACACATAGGAGAAACAGGATGAAATAGTTAGATTTGTCTTGTCTTTTTAAACTCAAATATCACATTTCACTGTCACCATGGAAAAGAGAGTGGAATTATTCTAAACCAGTAGGTGTGAAGTGAAAAAGAAGGAAAGTGTTCAAAAACAATTTCAAAGTATTGATGTTCCTGTTAGTCTGATAAAGTCTATTGGGTAGATTTACCAAATGGATAGTGACAGAACTCTTGGTACATGATGGAAATAACATGGACCATAGCAACAACGGTTTGTAACCTCAATAAATATGTTTACTATATATTAATAGTGCTCTCACAGTCCATGAAAGTCTTTTGAAAAACGCTTCTGAGTGAGCAGCATCTGACTCAAATTTTCAATTTTTCTTTTCAGTAAGAGACTAATGTTTTGATATGAATTCAAATGTCGAGGTTTATTCTTCTTTATAGTGCTACTTTAAGCATTCAAAGTCAACAACTGATGTGCATATACAACCTCTGCAAATGATTAATTATGAACTAGCAGGAATTTCTGATTAGCATTGTGAATAAGTGTTCCTTGCATATATGGAGACGTAGATTTTTTGAAATGTCTAGTGTCTGTTTGATATGCGCTTTATTTATGTAACAATGTTTGCTCTTGGTTGCAGATCACTGGATTTATTGCATTATGTTTTCCAGCTTTTTCCAGTACGTATAAGCAAAGTTTTAAGGTGAAAATGTATTTTCTTTTAAGAAATGATAAATGATATTATTTTGCCACCTGTACATACCTACTCAGATTTCTCTTACCTCTGGAAAAAGTGTATTGAGGCTCTACAAGGAGAAGTTGACAAGGTTTCATTTATTATAGTGGAACAATAGCACAGCAACACATAAATTGGAATTAGCTCATTAGTTTTTACTATGTGCTATTACAGTCACATGGTTGTTCTGAAAGTCTTCATAATCAGTTGCCTGTATGAGGCCTATGTAGAAGACTTCCTTATCTAAATGAAAGGTTATTTGAAGAGTTGTTCAAGGAGTTCTCAAGATAATGCCTCATTTAAACAGTAAAGTGTAGTAGTATTTCCCCTGTCTTTTTGTACATGTCTGAAGCTCAGGCTCTTGCTCTGATTTGTCTAGAATTGATACTACCTTTGGAATTAATTTCCATGAGTGCCTGATGCTTATAAAAATGGCTTAGGATAAAAGCTGGACCTGCAATGGATCTGAATCAGGTTGAAGAGCCAGAAAACGTAATCTGTGTATGCATGGTAGGACAATAGTGCAGTTGTCATCCAGAATGTTTGGATGTGATCTAAAGCATAAGTGAATGACTCATAGGAGAATGTCATGGGCAGTGACGCTCAGCTGTATTCATGACCTGTAAGTTTAAATCCTCCTCTTGGCTGCTTTGTGTACATAAGTTCTTTGCTTGCATCCCGTAGGAAGTCTTCTGAGATGCAGATTTAGAGAGCAAACTCCTCTAAATTCATATATAGACTCAGACTTTGTCTAAATTAAAAATAAAGTCAGGGAAAACACATGGAATAGGAAGGAATTAAAGTCTAGAAAACAGCAGAATTAAGGAAATTCATATTCTTTGCCTATCTCCTAAACAGTGGGACTGAAAGCTTATGTGCAGGGCAAAGCTAATATGCAGCTAAGGAGGCTGTGAATTTACAGTGCAGTAACTGTTTCACCCTAACTCCCTATGTGATCAATCTTTATCTTAAGTAACAAACTCCACTTTCTAAGACAATTTTAATGCACAGTGCAGTGTGTTGTGCATTCACACTATAAAGTACTGCATAGTAGCATCACTTAGAAACAGGTCCTGATGACCAGAGATACAGAGTTGGTCCTAAATATCAGCAGGTTTAAAAGTGCTCACCGTCAGGAATTTTCCTAAGCACAGACTGGAGTAACATCAGCACTTAGTAACATGATAATTTACATTCCAAAAAAAACTGAGCACAGAAAACTTTTAAAATTTCAAAATAATTTATCCATCCAACAATGCACCTGCCATCTGTAGTACCTTGAAACAAGATGTCATGATGGAATCACCAGGCAGTAAGAAAAATTTATCACATCGTATGTTTGAAAAGAAGAAAAGCAGTAAGATTCACATGGTACCTTTCTACTGAAAAGATCACATAATCACAGAATGGTTGAGGTTGGAAGGGACCTCTGGAGATCTAATTCAACCCCCCTGCTCAAACAGGATCACCTGGAGCATGCTGCCCAGGACTGCCTCCAGATGGCTTTTTAAGATCTCCAAGGATGGAGACTCCACAACCTCTCTAGGCAACATGTTACAGTACCCAGTCACCCTCACACTAAAGAAGTGTGGGCACTAAAGAAGAGTCTGGCCCCGTCCTCTTGGCACTCTCCCTTCAGACACTAATACACATTGATAGGATGCCCCCTCAGTCTTCTCTTCTCCAGGCTGAAGAGTCCCAGCTCTCCCAGACTTTCACAGAATCACAGAATGGTTCAGGTTGGAATGGACCTCTGGAGATCATCTAGTCCAACCCGCCTCCTCAAGCAGGGTCCTCTAGAGCATATTTCCCAGGATTGCATCCAGGTGGATTTTGAAAATCTCCAGCGAAGCAGACTCCACTACCTCTCTGGGCAACCTGTTCCAGTGCTCTGTCACCCTCACAGTCAAGAAGTTTTTCCTCAGGTTCAGATGGAACTTCCTGTGGTTCAGTTTCTGCCCATTGCCTCTTGTCCTGTTGCTGGGGGGGCACCACGGAGAAGAGATTGGCCTCATCGTCTTGACACTCCCCCTTCAGATACTTGAACACGTTGATGAGATCGCCTCTCAATCTTCTCTTCTCCAGGCTGAACAGGCCCAGCTCTTGCAGTCTTTCTCCAGAGGAGAGGTGCTCCAGTCCTCTAATCATCTTTGAAGCCCTCCACTGGACTCTCTCCAGCAGGGCCATGTCTCTCTTGTACTGGGGAGCCCAGAACTGCACACAGTACTCCAGGGGAGGCCTCCCCAGGGCTGAGCAGAGGGGCAGGATCACCTCCCTCCACCTGCTGGCAACACTCTGCCTAATGCACCCCAGGAGGCCATTGGCCTTCTGGGCCACAAGGGAACACTGCTGGCTCATGTTTAACTTGTTGTCCACC